GCTCAAACTCATGCCCATTGAGTCAGTGATGCCATCCAACCATCTTGTTCTCTGTTGTCCCCTTATCCTGCCTTCAGTCTTTCCTAGCATCAGGGTCTTTTCAAATGAGTCAGTTCTTTGCTTCAGGTGGCCAAAGTATTGGAGTTTCAGCTTAGCCTCAGTGCTTCCAGTGAATATTCAGGGTTGATTTCCTTTAGGATTGACTGGTTTGATCTCCTTGCAGTTCAAGGGACTCCCCTTCATGCTCTCTCTCTCAGAATATTTTTCCTACTTATTTTTTCTTCCTCTCTTTGTCTCCAGTCTGTGGAGTTGATTTTCTGTTCTTATAAAATTCTAAGCACTTTACCTAAATTGCTTTTGGAACTCTTCTCATCTCGTAACTTTTAAACATTTATTCGTTTAGAATTTTTCTTTTATGATGATAACAAAGTGTGTACACTTGACTATATAGAACATTTAGAAAAACACTCATGTTATAAAAAGATCATTCTTCTATAAACAACTATTGTGTGCACCTGTGTCAGGCCATCTGTGAAGTGAAGTGAAAGTTGCTCAGTCAGGTCTTGACTGTCTGCAACCCTATGGACTATACAGTCCATGGAATTCTCCAGGCCCGAATACTGGAGTGGGTAGCCTTTCCCTTCTCCAGGGGATCTTCCCTACCCAGGATCGAACCCAGGTCTCCCACACTGCAGGTGAATTCTTTACCAGCTAAGCCACAAGGGAATCTCCAGGCCATCTGTAGGGCTGTGGATCAGAGATGTGAAGAACTGCTGTGCAAGCTCCTGATCCAGTAAGATGTGGAGCTCATGAGCTAAAGTGGGAGAGAGGTGCCTGATAAGGAAGTACTTTGGAGTAAGGGAGCATCTTGGAAGACAAATCCAAATTTATTGGACTATTTGATCTCTTCTAGTTTACTTGCTTGGACCTTTACCTTTGTAATTTTTTTAATACAAAGAGAACTCTGTAACAATTTTATTTATCAGATATCATTCCTAGAAAGAGAAGATGCACTTTTGAACTTTTAAAACATTACAAAATAGTACCATATACTGCAGTTATCTGTTTTATGTTTGTGATGTACTTAATATGTCAAAAACAAATGTAAACATATATGGATGGGCTTCCATATGTATGTGCTACATATATGGAGGTGGCAAAGTGGTAAAGGATCCACTTGCCAATGCAGGAGATGCAGGATTTGAGAGTTTGATCCCTGGGTTGGGCAGATCCCCTAGAGAAGGAAATGGCAACCCACTCCAATATGATTGCCTGGAAAATTCCATGGACAGAAGAGTCTGGGGGGCTATATATAGTCCATGGGGTTGCAAAGATTCAGACACAACTGACTGAGCTTACATATATGTATATACTTTTAAGCATAGTTATAAATTTCAGAGGGTATCATCCAAATTGTTACTGTCTCTTTGTTGGACTATGTTTGTTCATAAGTAATAGAAATCCTAACAGTGATTTAGACACAGTATACATATGATTTAGTGTACAAAAGTATGTAGGTGATCTTAAGAGAAAGCATAGGAGTCAGTGATATCATTAAGGCAATTTTCTATCTTTCTACCCACATATTTGGTATGATGCCTTACAAGTATAAAATTTCACTTTATGGTGAATTTGATTTACCTTTCCCAACACCTCTGTGATTTTAGGTGACTAGTGCTATATGGATACTATATAGTGAAATGCACAGGTAAATTGTTACGATTTCAAATATTGACACCTGCATTTCATTTATCTATAGAAGGATCAAGCCTAGTGTTCTATTGTGTATCAAATTATTTAAAATATTTTATGTTTTTTTAGAATCTAGTCAAGTCAGGGTGAGGAATAAGCGTATGTTGTTGTTTGGTCACTCAGTTGTGTCCAATTCTTTGTGACTCCGTGGATTGCAGCATGCCAGGCTTTTCTGCCCTTCACCATCTCCTGGAGCTTGCTCAAACTTCAGATTCTCTAAGCTATGAAAATAGAAAATGTGAGGGCACGTTATACCTGACATTTCTGTCCTCTCCCACCTCAGACTTTTTGCAGAGGTATTTTACTTGGTTCTGATCCTGTGTGTTGCACAGATGGATGGTAACGTAATGGGAAAAACGGTTGGCAGAATTGGGCGGTAACCACTGGAGACAGTAGTTGTCAGATGGAAACTAATTGATTGTAATTGCTTTGCCATTGTATTGCTCGTGGAGTCTGTAGCTTGTTAGAACCACTGATTGTAAAATAAGGATCTCACTTTTTATGCTGTAGGTTATGTTAATGAAAAGCTGTTCTTAGAGGAATGATCAGTGAATATCAATAAATAGATAATAAGAAATTAAAGGAAAACTTAACTAATTGATCATGAATTAATATACTTCAACAGAGTAGCAGTCAACTGTATGCTGGTTCATAATGAATTTTTGGCTCAGAGCTCTTGAATCTTAAATATTCCCATAGAAAGAGAAATTGATTCTGTGTAACTGTTTATCACAAACTGTCTGGAATAACAAATCTTCCCTGTTAGAGGAGATCTCCTGGAAAACAAACCAAAAAAGTCTTTTGCAGAGCCTTTTGCAAGCTGAAGTATGTTAACAGGCAGATATTTTGAAGTAGAAAAAGTTCCCATTGTAACACTAAGAAAAGATTAGAAGTGGATTTTTCAATGCTCAAGGTATATGAATAGTGAGTGGGGGTCTGTGTGAATCTGAAGGCATTTTTTTTTTGCAATATTTATCAGTATTAAAATGAGTATACTAGAATGGTAAAATGAATGTTAAATTATGTCTAACTTTTTATTGTAAGATAGGTATTACTTTTTATATGATAATGATTTCTTTTATGATCATGTCTTTTGCCAGTGGCATTTAAACTTTAGTGATATTAAAGTTGTCAGATTTATTGAAGACATTTTTTACTGAGCACCAATTCTGATTAAGGCTCAACCTCTGACCTCAAGGAACTCAGGACAAAGAAACAGATAAATGTGTAAACAAGTGGCTACTTTCAGCATTGAATATAGTGATGCAAAGAATAAAAGGTGCTGAGGGACGCAAAGGGAAGATGACATAAGTTCTGAAGGATTTCTGAATGTTTTCCAGCAAACAAAAAGATGGCCCAGGAAAAAGGATCAGTGTTATAGTTCTGGTACTGGGGAAATAGGATAAGAGTTGGAAATGAGGTTGTATGTTTTAGGATGCAAGATGAGGTTGGGCAGGCAAAATTCTACATGGCCTTTGTGCTTCTTTGCTCTTCTTAGGAATTTGGAGTTATTCCTGTGAAAGGGGCTCATTGAGGCTTTTTAGGTGTTGGGAGAATCTGAGTAAATTTTCTTCCTGCGTAATACCTCTCCCCTTTATTTGGATGATAGGCAGAAAGAGGCTCATTGTGACCTCCAGTTAGCAAGCTGGTGCAATGGCCCTTGCTGTTGAACATTATTATTAATCTATATTTATGTAAAGGAAGGCTTCCCATGTGCCTCAGTGGTCAAGAATCTTCTTGCCAATGCAGGAGGTGCAGATTCGATCCCTGGGTCAGGAAGATCCCCTGCAGAGGGAAATGGCAACTCATTCCAATATTCTTGCCTGGAAAATCCCATAGACAGAAGAGCCTGGCAGGTTACAGTTCATGGAGTAGCAAAGAACCAGACATGACTTAGCGACTAAGCACACACATGTAAAGGAAATTAAGAGCTTACATGCTGAATCATGTATTCATCTTTGATTTTTTACATACCTTTTTTTTTCTTGAATGTAGTAATGAAATTGGTGCTAATATTTCAGTTGCTTAAAACTCTGAGACAAGAATGTCTCCATGCTTTAACAGATTTCTTCATCCAGTAGAAAGCACATACTTATTAGTTTCATATTTAGGAACCTGATATATATATATATATATATACACACACACACACACACACATATATGTATATATATAATTAGTTTCATATTTAGGAACCTGATATAGAGATATAACTTACTATAAAATGTTTTTATGATTTTATGATTATGATTTTTAAAAAGCACATATAAGATAATGCTAAAAAATTGGCAGTAATTTTAGTCCTGTTAAATATTTACCAGAAACATTCTTTACATTTGAGATTCTATTTCAGAATTTGGAACATTTGCATTTTAAGTACATAATAAAAGGAGAAAGTGAAAGAATAATTGCCTTAGATATTAGCAAATTACAGCTATAACTAAAAAATAAAATAAACAGAACATAGAAACTGACATTGGATCCACAGAAGAGTCACAGTACATGTGCGTTGATCAGATGTTTAATAATATTGCAGAACAATAAAAGGAATACACTAAAAGGATTGTATTCAATCCTTTAATACAACATGTTTCTTAACATTGAAATTAATGAAAGCTAATTTGAGGTTTTTGATTCTAGGGTCATTCAACTTTTGCTGTTAATGTATCCACTGATGGGACTTGTCTAGAGTGATTCCAATTGTTAAAATCTTGTGGAAAAATAAGACAATTGGATCCAATAATTGTCTTAGTCCTACCTGCTATAACAGAATATCACAGACACAGTGGTGTAAAAACAACAGAAAGTTATTTCTCGTAGTTATGAATGCTGGTAAGTCTAAGGTCAAGATGCCTGTGGATTCCATGTCTGGTTAGGACTTCCTAGTTCATAGAGGGCTGTTTTCTTGCTGTGTCTTCATATGACTGGAATGGGTGAAGGAGCTGTCTGAGGTCTCTCTTATAAGAGCATTAATCCCATTCAAGACCTACTCACCTCCCAAAGGCCCCACCTCCTAATACTATCACTGGGTTTCAATATATGAATTTTGTGGGGGCATAAACATTCAGTGTATTAAATGGTCATACTCAGTTGTGTTTTTATCAGTCCACTGAGAGGTTCCTCCTGTCTGTCTAGTTCCTAAGGTCAGCGGTCACAAAAAGGTCTCAGTGCATAGATCCAGGCCAGTGACAGGATCTGGGGTGTCAGAATGAGCTGCTGACAGTATTTCATTGTGTTCCTCATGACAGATACAACAACATATTCCACGGAGAGATCTGAGCACTTCAAACCCTGCCGAGACAAGGACCTTGCCTACTGTCTCAATGATGGCGAGTGCTTTGTGATTGAAACCTTGACAGGATCCCATAAACACTGTCGGTAAGTCCCTGCGGCGACTGACACTCAGGGTGGGTCTTCAGAGAGGCCTGGAGACGGAAATCAGTGCTGAGCTCGAGAAACACAATGTGATACACATAGTCTGGTGCTGGAATGGCAGAATCAACAGTCTTAATAGGGGAAGAACAAGGCTGGTATCGTTAGTATTTGAGGAAGATAAAACTGAATTTAAACAGACACGACTTGAATTTTACCTGCTCAAGTAAAGGAAGAGTTTCTTTCATATGTAACAATTTAATAGAAATAATTTTTTATTCGCTTTAGAAATCTATATTTTTGGTGTGGGATTTAGGCACATATGCTCATACTCAGAAAGAGTCTCTTCCTGCTGACCTACAGATTGTGGCATGACAAAGCAAACTGCTCATCTAAGATCTAGAGCCTCAGTGTTTATTGTGAACCAAACTCCAGAGGCTGTAACTGTGTCCAGAGAAAACCACATCTTATTCTGATTCTGCCCCTGTTGACTAATTTCAATCCCCCTCCCCCTTTTTTAACACCTCTGATGATGAAATATTCTCCAGCAAGATGCTGTAAATGAAATCATAGTCCTGTTATAGTCCAGGTAGAGAGCTACTCAGGGAAAATTCCCAGTGGAGATCAAGAAGGTGTATAATTGGTTTTTAGAGACATAAGGTTTTTAGAGACGTAACTGCTAAAAATAAAAACAAGCGGAGATAAATAGTTGGTCTTGTAGACACTGCAGCTTTAAGGCTCCATAGAAGAATCAAATTAACATCCGAAAAATACTTCCCACGGAGCTTTTATTTTCAGCACTGCCCTGGTAATTTGTTTTTCTTTGCAATTGTATATGCTTCAGTGATTACATATATCCACACCCCTTTCCTTCTCTTTATTTACTCTTCTCATATGACACAGTTATTAAATTAATTATTCTGAATCGTGAAGCATGGAAAATTATGACTTTCTTCTCTTGCTATTGCTATTATAAAACTTTATTCCATGTTGTTTTATTAAGATGGCACAGAGAAATGTGTCTTATGGTTTTGAACTTAGAATGTGTCAGCAAATCCTGCCTGGCTCCACAAGCCAGCTTTGGTTCAAGAGGCCGGGGGCATGAGGTGCTATAGTGGCCAGTGACACAGGTTTGGAAGAACTGATCAATGATAGTGGCTGATCTCTGTAAGAGCAACCATGTAGCCCATGGCCTTTCTTCACCCTTCACGTGGTGGCCTTCATGTGACGTGGGTACCATTACACTGACTTCAGTTACAAAACTTGCAACCCATTTATGTTCTCTGTAAACCTGAGTTAGGGATCAAAGGCAGTGGGAGAGGTTCCTTTCCACATTTCTCTTCTCTTGCTATATTTATTAGATCAGTGTAGATACAGGTAGAAAAGACATGGGTGACTTGAAGACCTCAAAAGAAAAGCCAAGAATGAGCTATCATTTCAAATCACAAAGTGCCTCCATACTCTTATAGATATCCAACCATGTGTTACTGTTGCCTTTGCCAATCCAGTGGTGTCATGTGTAACAGGTAGTGCCATCAAATAAGTTTGTATTTATAATTTATTGAAGGGATGAATCAGAAGTCTCACCTAAAGCAGTGATGGTGTTTTTTGATGGTGTTTTACCCCAGGGAAGCTTCAGATCAGGCCTCACCACTATGTGCAGGCAGGTCTGATTTATCCTTTCCAATAGTGAGAATGTCAAAAACAAAACAAGAATTCCTATTGATACATCCTTGCTATATTCACTGTTAAGTTCATGGATATATTAGTTTGCTAGGACAACTGTAGCCTAGTACTGCAGATTGGGTGATGTAAACAACAGAAATATATTTTAACACAGTTTCTGGAGCCTCGAAGTCTAAGATCAGGGTATCGGCAGAGTTGTTTCCTTAGGCCACAAGGGAAGGATCTCTTCCAGGCCTCTCTCCTCAGCTTGTAGATGACGAAATTTTCTGTGTGCCTTTTCATGTTCTTTCCTCTGTACAAGTTTTATCCAAATCTGCTTTTTAATAAAGGACACCAGTCCTATTGGATTAAGGTCTACGCTAATGGCTCTATTTTAACTTGAATGCATCTGTAGACTCTTCAAATATGGTCACATTTTGAGGTCCTAAAGGTTAGCATTTCAGCATATGAGTTATTTGGGAGACACAATCCAATCTGTGACAGTGGATCTCAGGTCCAGAAAAAAAAAAAATCCCTTGCACATGTGTACATGTCTAATTTTTTTAAACATAGATAAGCAGAGGTATATCTGTGGTTTGGCTGGAACTGTGTAATAATTTTGGCCTGTGTCGTCATATTTCGTGAATATTTCAGCACAGACAACCTGTTATTTAACATAGAGTCACAACATAGCTAATCATGACAAAAGACCAGCCTAAGACAGGACTGGAACTCGAGTAGGTTAATAGATGCCTATAAATCTCCTAGTAGTGTGTATGAATAAATCACATTGAATGTGTCAGCGATTCATCTCCCAGGCTTTGCTGTGAATAAAAGGCTTACATTTGTTCCTGCTTCAGCCACTTCTAAGAATTCCAATGTAGTTATTTATAATGTGCCATTTTGTACAGTGCTCTAATATGTTTCATTTATCCTCCTCCACTCAACAAATGTTTATTGAGCATCTCTTATCACCAAGATACTGTTGAATAAATAAATACAGAAATGAACTTTGGAATTAAATGGCACTGCAGTTTGTAATGCACTTGGAGTAAGTGAAATACTTCATCTTCAGGAAAGAAAGAAAACAAGAGAAATGACTTTCATGTGACTGGCATGCTACCAGGGCTGTGTTACTGATGTTTTACTAAGTAGATTATGTCATAGGTTAAAGAAACCACAAGTTAGTAGATTGGAGCAACAGTGTTAATGGGTATACCTGCATCTAGCTCATTAGGTAGTTTGCTTTTTACACATATGCAAAGATTAAACATTCAAACCTGAGACAAGTTAAGATTATGTATGTATTTTTGGTATTTTAAAAATAAATTGCAATCCCATTGATCTGAATCAAGGTATGTTTTTTCCCCATGTTGCGATCATGGTGAAACAATTTTTTTCCTTGCCAAGGAAGAGTAGTAACAAAAAATGAAAATTACCTAAAATTTCCTATCCTTCCTGATAGAGATCCTGAAAGTGTATGCTCCAAACTGCAAATCCTTGCGATAAGGGGCACTTCATGGTTTTCTGTTTGTTATTTTCTCAGTCTTTAGTGCATTTTCAAATATTTGAAAAAACTATTTATAGTGAAGATAGAAATTATAGCACAAACTAATGAAAATTTAAGAGGAATACCAAGATTCTAAAATAACTTGACATGTTTTAAAGAATAATAAATAGATTGGCAAACCTGGTATTGCTAAATTTACAATTTAAGTCACAGATCATTGGTTGGCTGATTAGTAAAAGCAGAACCTTTTGTATTGTGGAGGTTAGTGCAGAATAAAGAAATATTCATAAATTGGGAAAATGAGTCTGGTTTTTGTATAAACGTGGTTGACTTATCAGGTAAAACATCAAAGTTGAATTTTTACTTCTTATATACCAAAAGTTGTTAATAATGAATTTAAAAGGTAATATAATAAAGTATTAGAGAAAATGGTAAATAAAAATTATATATTCCTTTACATCAGCAATTGAAGGTAAAAGAAAAAAGCAATGAGTAAAAAACAATGAAAGGAAAAATGAACAGCCTTGATGCAGCTTTTTTTTTTTATCTGAATGTCATAAGTCAGAAACAAAATTGAAAGAAGTATTAGTAAACTACAATAAGCATGGCAAGGAAGTGATATTTTGATGAAGTCACGTAGATCGATAAGAGTAACACTAAAATTAAACCTCAGTGGGAAAATGGGCAAAAGACAGGAACACCCTCTTCTCTTGAAATGGAATCCAAATAACCAATAAGCATGAAAAATACTCAGTCTCACAGAGAAATGCAAATTAACTTGTTTGTTTGCTTATCATATATTGTAATGATGTTTAAAAGTAGTTTGGCAAGGATGCAGTAAAACCATCATCTCATTCACTAAACTCGATAGACTGTACTTTGTTAAACATCTTCTGTAGGTGATGCATCAGTGTTTCTGTATCTTTACATTTTTTTCTAAGAGTTAGCTTAGAGAAATGTATATGTATATTTGTTTTTAAGAGCATTCACTTTAGGATTTGTAATAACAAAACAAAGAAAACTTGAATTTTGATGTGTATATAATTCAGAATATATCTATACCATGGATGAATTCAACATAACTTGAATTTTCATAATTTTAAGACTATGAAAATGCTTGTTATATCATGTATATGGTATGTTATATCATATACAAAAATCAGGTTGTATAACTATAAAAATGAACATAAATAGCAATCCAGTTCTGAAAAATAACTAAATAAAAAGGCTAATAGGATTTATAGCTGTTGTCTTCTTTGAACCTTGAGGTTTCCAAGATCATTACATTGCACACGTATTTCATTTACGTAACATCTGGTTAAGACACTTGACCCATGCTTCTCATCTTTCCATTAAGAAAGATAGTGTCCCTGTCTTTGTTAAATGAAGATCGTTATAATTCACTATTATTAGGCTGATAAGAGAGCTTTCAATTAAGCCATTCTAGATTAAACACTATAAAGTCTGTTAGGATGTGTCTGCTCCTTTTATTAAACTTTCATTTATGCTCTTTATAATAATCATTTTCTATGCTGAATTCGTGTGTTTTGAAATATCAAAAAAATGGATTGAATAATAGGACAATACATTCTGTAGAAATTAAGCTGAGTAGAGAAGGAAAGGAAGTACTAGAAACACCTTGACTCAAAGTATCCTGAATAAAAGGGTATTCTCTAATATATTTATTTTTATGCCATTTCTAGAAATTTTTAGAACTTTGGAAATGGTGCCATTTGTAGCATATTTCACTGGAGTCGAAAGTAGTAGCCATTGTAACTGAAAAGATTGCTAGGCATTTGAATGGACCAAACGTGTTTTGAGGCCAAATTCAAGTT